GAGGTTCAATTGGGGGACTGAGTGGACAGAAGATTTTGCTGTCTTCCTCTCTCTCTCTCTCCCTGTAATTATGACTTTAAAAATAAGTAGATGAAATTTCATTAAAGAAAAATTCTTGTTAACACTCCTGGTTTTATGGAATGCCAGTACAAAAATAAATGCTGGGAATAAGATAACTTATGTGTTCATCTATAGTTCTCTACCCAAGTCTCCATTCTAAGCTGGCCTTGAGTATTCTTGGTTCCAAGTTCCCTGCTAAAGACAGTAACCATGGCCATCACTATCACACACAGAAAAGCAATCAGAACAGATAATTCACAAATCTGAAATGTGCATGAACATTGATGGTCTTAGCTTCACTAATAATCAAAGAGGAAGAAGGGATCCAGGACAGACAAAAATCAACCAAATCTTAGATAATCAAAATGGCTTACAATAGGCAGTTTGTTAGATCTCTTGATATAATGCAATAACCTGAAATTTTGTTTGTAAAAAGATTTTGTGATCTCATAAAATGTTCATATCAATAAATGAGTGCAAAAACTGTACATGTGAATATTCTCAAATTTATAAAATAAGAACATTTTTAAAAGGATAATATATCCTCAAAATAGCATTTATTTTTTGGTGGTAAAACTATAGATGGTTTAAATGTTATCTACTTCCCTATAATTTCCAGTTTTCTGAAATAAATATATAGTCAGAAAAGCCAAATAAAAATAGATTCTAAGAGAAAGTAAATAAAAGTGTTATTAAAGTTACACTCATTTTACCTAGAGTATAATTTTCACAGAAAAAATGTTTAAGAAAATATTTTTAGGAAGTTATCTAATATTTGTCTTGGCTTTCCCTTGTAAGAATTTTATATGATACCAATAAAATGTTCATGAATTTATGATTTAAGTTGTTAGACAAGGGCCCGGCATGATGGCCCAATTGGCTAATCCTCTCTTTGCGAGTATTGCAATCTCATATGGACGCCGGCTCATGTCCTGGATGTTCCACATTCCACCACGATACCTTAGCTAGTGTGACTTGGCTTATTTACAGGACAAAAATCCACTCTATGACTATGGGCACAAATTGAAGAAAAGAGGGGGAAATTTAAAGAATCATTGAATGAAGAAGACACAAGAGAGGGAAAGAAGGCAAGGCATTGGGGGCCTTGGGAGAGTATGTGTAATTTAGAAGGTCTTGCCAATGAAAGAAAGTCACTGGAATTTACTAAATCCCCCCTTTGTGGTTTGTATGCGAATTTAACCAACTTCTTATTGTGAACTTGGGGACAACTTGTGGTTATCATTTCTTTCCACCCCACATCTCTTTTCTTTCTTCTGCTTTGACTATAACTAAATATTTTTATATGTTTATGCACCATTAGTATTTGTGACTTATCTTTTCTCTGAGTCTGGTCTTATTCCTGGAATCTGTCTATAAGACTCCTCATAGGACATTTTTTCCACTTCATAGATGAGGTAATTAAGGTTCAGAAAAGGAACATGCCCAACATTATTTGTGTTAGTAAATGGTGACATGAAAAATCCCAACTCCTTTGTAAATCATTGTGAAAATAAATGTGGATGTGTGTGTTTTATATGAGAGTACCCAGTGACTGATGCCTTGTCAGTGATGGGGTTTCCCAATCCCATCACTTGGAAATATGAAGTGGCTCACCTATGACCATAGAGGCAGCACAAGCATACGACTACATAATGAACAGTCCATGTAAAGGAGTTATGACTGACATTGGAGTTTCAAGCTGTCCAGACAAAGGCTTTGAAGTGCAATGGAGGCTTTTGTGTGCCCACAGCCACTGCAAACAAAGGGCTATGAAAAGCCTGAGTAATTATGGGAGATGATGCCTCCCAGGAGCAAGTCCAGAAGGAAAGTTAGGATGTTTCTTCAGGGGAGTGCCAACAGCCAACTAACAGCTCCCAATAGAAGCTGGGATCCCCAGTTTCCCAGAATCCTTGCAGAGGGTTCCTTGGAGGGCAACGAGACAGCTGAGGGACAATCTCAGCATTTGGAGGGATACGGAGGAAAGAGGTTTAGGGAAGAACACTTCAGACTTGAAGTCAGAAGAAAGATGTTCTAGGTTAGAAATAACCTAGAAATTAATTCTAAAACAGGCCTCCTTGGAATACGTCCCCAATGCTCCTTACACTCTTGTAAAGTCATCTTTTCCATCCAAGTCACTGACCTGAGTGGTTACCTTGGTGATTTGTAGAAAAGACAGTGAACAAAAAGAAGAAAGAGCTGCAGCCACAGTATCTTGGTCCCATGATGCTTTTTTTTTTTTAAACCGATTTAAAAGGCAGAGTTGTAGTGAAAGACAGATAGAGAGAGCAATAGAGATACACTTGAGAGAGAGTGAGATACACCTTATACCTGCTTGTCTCGCTCCCCAGATGACCACAACAGACAGGGGTGAGCCAAGCTAAGGCCAGGATTCAGGAGGTTCTGTGCGTTGTCAATGTAGGTAGCAGTGGCCCAAGTACTTGGACCATCTTATTCTGCCCTCCCAGGTGCATTAGCAGGGAGCTGGATTGGAAGTGGAGCAGCCAGGACATTATGTGATGCTGGCATCAGACACCACTCTCAGACACAGCCCACCACAACTCTTAAAACAGAATTCTTGTGACTCCATATTTGATTCTCCCATGTGCCTTATGTTTTATTTTGGTCACAAATATGATGTGAATGAAAATCATCCAGGTGTATTTCCAGAGTTATGTTGGAGAACATAAAACCTATCACCCTACAGAGTTTGCTTTAACATTTCACAAGTACCTTCTTTGGAGCCGTCACATTGGAACTCCTTAGTTACCAGTTTACATCCTGGAAGTACTAGGAGGTTTCCCTTTGGTTGATTTTCACTCTCTAAGGCCAGGTCTCATCATGAGAGAAATGTCTGTGAAAAATGTAACAGGCTTTGTCCTGTATTTTATGCTGAATATCTGAGAACAGAGCAAAGCTAGAAATTTCCAATTGCAATCTCATCCAGTTGCAAAGCAGTCTATAAGCGGCTCACTTTCTAGTTTTTGTATGCTGGTTGCTCTGAATGCAAAGATGACACTCCTCGCTGCTCCTAGCAAGACACAGTAGTGGCTGTGCAGTGTGATAGATATCTGGACAGATAGGAGACCAAACGGGATGACCAGACCAAGGACAGAACCACTGTCCCTTCCCAACAACCTCCCGCATCTATGTTTACTTTTTCATTCAGTAGAAGTGTTGGTACTTTCATTAAAGCTCATTTATGCTGGCTTTTATTAGACGAGGGATTCTTGACCATGTGTTGTGAGCCAGGTGTTCAGCCCTTTACATGAAACCACTCGAAACTCTATTACACCATTATATAGTAGGTGAAATCAAGTGTTGGCTGGATGAAGATTTTTCTGTCAAACAACTTTTTGAAAGCATTTAGGAGTTGAACTCAGTGAAAGCTTTAAAATTTTTGCTTTTGCTCCTAACAGTTCCTTGGTGGGAAAGAGGGACTTTCTCAAATTGCCTTTTTCATGGAATCTTAATTTAAAGGGATTATGAATATTACATCCTCCCCCCGCCTCCGTTTTGAAATCTTTCTTGTGTTTCTCCAAGAACTCTAAGAAGTCAGAAATGGCCAATGGAAGCCTCTAACCATCCCAGCTCAGCCTGATTCTATTTTAGGGCGGGGCCTCCAAGACAGATTGAGAAGATTGTTTGTTTGTTTGTTTTTCATAGGACTCAGGTGTTAGACAACTGTTTTCTTCCAGAGTTGAAAAGGGATTTTTCTCATGTCTCTTTAAAGTTGTTCTAAAAATCTGAGTCCAGGGTTAGTGCTGTGGCATCTGCAGTGCCAGAGTAAGAGTCGGTTCAAGTTCAGGTAGCTCCACTTCTGACCCTACTCCCTGATGCTGGCCTGAAAAAGCAGAAGAAGCTGACCCAAGGAGTTGGACTTCTGCACTCATGTGGAAGGCCCGGGAGAAGCTCCTGTCTCCAGGCTTCACAGCAGCCCAGCTCCAGTCATTGTGGTTGTATGGGGACTAAACCATGGAGGATCTCTCTCTGTCTCTCCTACCCTCCTTTATGTAACTTCATCTTTCTTTTTTTTTTTTTTTTTAAAGATTTATTTTTATTATTTTTTCATTGGAAAGGTGGATATACAGAGAGGAGAGACAGAGAGGAAGATCTTCCGTCCGATGATTCACTCCCCAAGTGAGCGCAACGGGCCGATACTATGCCGATCCGAAGCCAGGAGCCTCTTCCGGGTCTCCCACGCGGGTGCAGGTTCCCAAAGCTTTGGGCTGTCCTCGACTGCTTTCCCAGGCCACAGGCAGGGAGCTGGAAGGGAAGCGGGGCTGCCGGGATTAGAACCGGCGCCCATATGGGATCCCGGGCGTGCAAGGCGAGGACCTTTAACCACTTGCGCCACCGCGCCGGGCCCAACTTCATCTTTCAAATACAGATAAAATAAATTTTATTAAAAAAAAACCCTGTGCCTGATGGATTAAACTAGACAATTCTATCCATTATATGGGGGCATTTATCATCTCCTTTAAAAAATTTTTAAAACTATTTGTGAAATTGTAAAAATGATTCATGCTTATTACGAAACACTAACACACAGAGGTACATGGACATAAAAATAAATGCTCCCATTGGTGGTCATTCTCATTCTCTCTCACTCTTAGCATAACCATTGATGCTGGGTCTTTTGCCAGGTATGCACACTACACTTTCATACATACATGCGTATACACACAGTTATATTTGCACAGGCATGTGTCAAAACTAAGAGCAAGCTCTACATTTCATTCTAGAATCTGCAACTTCATATTCCACACATGGACTTTTATGTCCATCAGTCCTAATTCTGTCATCATTAGGAGCAATACTGAGTCCCCTCATTTTCTGTGTCTGCACAAGGATTAAGCATATATTGAAAGGTACTCAAGGATGATTATACCAACAGAATATAGCACTCAAGGGTTTGAGATAGCCACTGCTGTATTACTTACAATGAGATATCACATGGATTCTGCAGTGGGTTTCAAAGTGAGTAAAGACAAGGAAGTAATTTCTCATTTTTTCCGCTCTGAGTGGGACACTCCGTGATCTGCATATTATAAAAAAAAACATGAAAGTGAGGTCAGGCTTGGCAGCGAAATTACTGGCTACAAGCTTTTAGGACAATTAAGAAACAGCATGATCATTCTGGCACACGCTTCAACCAGTTGGCAGCAAAATGCCTTTTCTGCTCTTATGTTGACTGGCAATTCTCAGTAAATGGCTAAAATTGCCTTTCATGTCTGCCGGCAACTGCTTTGCCGAAGTCTTTGAGTCCTGTGGAGCTCTCTTTAATAATGGGGTATCTTCTCTATTGGGAGAAACTTGGCATCAGTAAGGATTATTCCAACTCAAGCAGGACAAAAATTCCCTTGTTTTCAGAATTAGCAGTCCTTGAAACCTTGTTCAAGTTTAGAAATGAAAATTTTCCCTAAAAGTTTTCTTTAAAACTTGTTACCCAAATGCAAAGACTACATTTTATATGATTAGTGACATACTAGTAGCCATTTGGAAATATCAAAAATAACTCACAGATTCTTATTATCGCTGGTGAAGTTCAAGAATTTGGAATCCCAGTTGGGATATTAGTTACTTAAAATGTCCCTACTACTTAAATTATAAGTTGTCAATAAACATTACTCTTTTTCCAGCTTCCCAGAAGTAAAGATGCTACAGTTGCCCTCTACTGTGGCACCTCATGGACAGCACCAACTACTGCCTATTGGCTTGTCTGAGGGCTCAAAGTGGACAGAACACACAGTTGGCCCACTATGACCAAGAGGTTTCATGTATGCAAATTCCATCAACCACAGACAGAAAATATTTGACCCCCCCCAAAAAAATTTCATCTGTACTAAATGACAAGATTTTTTGGGTCATTATTCTATAAACCATACAGTAGCAACTATTTAAACAGTGGCTATATTGTTTTAGGTATTACAAGTGATCTACTAATGATTTGGAGCTTATATGGGAGGATGAATGCAGGTTACATCAAATACACCCTTTTATATAAGGGACTTAAGCATTCAAAAACTTGATTTGGCAAGGAGTCTTGTACCAGTCATCTATGGATCCCAAGCTACCAATGTGAGCTTAATGGCTGCCAGCAGTCTTGGGAGCTGCAGTGGCTCTTCCTGGTAGTATAGAGAGACTCTGTAAGATGGAGACACTTGTGGCAGATTTCTTAGAAGACTGTTGAGACAATTATTGAGCCACACCATAGAACACCTACAATACTGCCTGGACCAGGAGGTACTACTTATTTTGTATCTTTTGTATTTAAGGTCAGTCTCTCTAACTTTCAGTGTTGAACTGAGGTTACCAGCTCTTTATGCTAAGAGAGAAAAAATCTCATCTTTTTTCCCTGTGTCATAATAGAAACCAAGAGAAAGATAATCCAATCATACCCCTCTTCCTCACTTCTGGTCAGATAAGAGCTGGGACTTTGAACCAGGCAGCCTTGTTCAACCATTCAGCATCTTCTTGCACCAGGAATAAGTTTCTTCAGCTCTCAGAGCCTCAGCGTCTTTGTCAGACTACAGGGGTCAAGATCCACCGTTGGTCATCAAACTGGTGGGATGACCACAAGAGTGTGCATAGGGCCCGGTGCAATGGCCTAGTGGCTAAAGTCCTCACCTTGAATGCACCAGGATCCCATATGAATGCCGGTTCTAACCCTGGCAGCTCCACTTCCCATCCAGCTCCCTGCTTGTAGCCCAGGAAAGCAGTCGAGGATGGCCCAAAGCCTTGGGATCCTGCACCCATGTGGGAGACTTGGAGGAAGAGCTCCTGGCTCCTGGCTTGGATCGGTGCAGCACCAGCCATTGCGGTTTCTTGGGGAGAGAATCATTGGACAGAAGATCTTCCTCCCTGTCTCTCCTCCTCTCTGTATATTTGACTTTGCAATAAAAATAAATAAATCTTAAAACAGTGTGCATAAAGGACTTACACATAGTAAGTGCTAATGTGATTCACTACTAAAGTGAATTTAAGTGCAACAGATCTCTTGAGCCCCTGCCTCAAAGTCCACTCTGTATAGAGACATTTCACAATAATCCCACAAGGAATGCCCATCGAGTGTGTTTACTGAACTGAAAAGAGTAGATGCTGTAAGAGAAAATGACATGCTATTATTCTCAAGGCTAGAACTGATGGAACGGAAATGCATCACCAGGTCTTTGCTTTAGAGGCACATCCTACACTCTGTCAATGAGCCACAAGTATCTGCTTAACCCTAGCATCGTCTGGGTCTGGCAGTGAAAAGCTAAGAGGAACCATTAGTGTCTGCTTCCTTCTTACTGTCAGAAACTTCTCAATTATTTTCATGACTACCATAGACACAAATGAACAAAATGGAAAACATCGTCTTACAGGCTAAGCAAAATATTATCATCATCTTTTCCTAGTCACAGTCTTGCATTCTTTCACTTCCAAGTTCCATAGACTTTCTGAAATGTCTAAATGACTCTTTGAATGCTGTTAACCAAGAGGATTTTTCCTTCTCCAACACAGGCAGTTGACTCCTCTTCTTGCAACAAGCTTTTCAAAGTCATCACAAATAACATTTTTTCTTTACAGTTCTCCAGTGACCTTTAGCGCAAGCAGCTCTTTCTTCTTCCAGGGGTGGGTTCTGACATCATTCTCCGGGAACACAAAGGCCTCCACAAGATTGATTTAGCCTGCTGAGGCTTTGGAAAGGGTTTCTTCTCCCCTGACCAAGTCTTAATGCACAACTGAAGGAAACATTATCTGGCAATGCCTCTCTCCTGCCAGTTTCCCTTCAGGTTGGGTGTTAAAAGTCAGTTATCCTAACATCTGCTTCGAAACCTATCTTTCCCAGTCAGGAGTAAGGTATTGTCATTTTCAGCCAATTATTTCTTATCTTTGGTTACTTCTGCTCTTTTTAAATTCAAATCAGCCAGCATCTGTTCCCAGGGTTGGGTGCCAAGGTGCCCCCCCATCAGCGTAGAGAAACTCATCTTTGATCTTTTTCGTTTGCCTCCTCTTCGTACCACACACAGTCCTCATCCCAGACTCCTCTACACTCTCAGGTCTCCCTTTGCAAACTGACTTGAGATTTTAGAAGAAAAGAAAACTTTAACAGGAAAGCAACGGAGCTGAATTAGATAAAATGCTAAATTAAGGCTGTGCGAATCTGAGTGGCTCTCTTGGAGTTTGCTCTGCTCTGCCTAAATGCTGTGTGTTTTGCAAGCTCAGGAACACAGAGGAGCTGCCCTGTAGAGCACAGCATGGGACTGGCTCCATTGACTGCTGCCATCTATGCAGCCGTGGGGAGTTCCCCAGACTTCTGTTACTCAGCAGCCTCCTTATACCAAGCTAAAGTCACAAAATGGATGTCAGGAATAAAACACAAGTTGGCTCTTCCTTACCAAGAATCATCTCTGATATCTGAAATCCACGCATGAGAGTCTTCCGAAAGCTCACAAAAATGCATATCATGGGAGTAAATATTGGGTACAGCAGGTTAGCCTGCCACTTAGGAGGCCAGGTGAAATATTGGAGGGCCTGGGTTCAAGGTCTGCCTCTGGCTTCCTGTCCAGCTTCCTGCTAACCCCACACTAGGGGAGGAAGCAGACAGTTAGTCAAGCAATTGCGTATTTGCTCTTTGCCTCCTACATGAAAGACCAGGTGGAGTTCCTGGCTCCTAGCTTGAACTTGGATGAGCCTGGTTGTTCCAAGTATTTGTGCAATGAAGCAGCAGATGAAAGAGTCCATCAGTCTTTTCCTGTGTATGTCACTGTGCGTTTTGAATAAATAAAAGTTTGTAAGTACTTTTCAGTGTATATTAGTTTTAAAAAATGTGCATATTGACAAAAGTTTTTGCAGTAAAAAGGCATAGCTACAAATTCTATTTTTTTTTTTTTTTTTTACCAACTTTTAGAAATTCTCTTATCTAGTAGCAAGGGGAAACTCTGCTACACAGCATAGTTTGTTATTGGGTTATAGCCTGCCCTATTCACTTACATGAATACTTCTGTGTTCCAATGGCAGAGTTTGAAGATTCTCTGGTTCTGTCACTTCACAATGTGTGGTTGTTATCATCTTCTGAATTGCAGAGACGTGCATCAGTCCCCAAGAGCTACTTCTCCCTGCAGGACATGAAATACAGAAAAAGGCATTAGAAAAATAGCAAATAGTTCAGCGGTAGGCATATTCAAATTTTCTTAAGTCACTAACTTGTTATCATTTTTGATCATTTCTAGAAAGATTTCTGTGTTCTTTTCATCTTTTAAAAAAAAGATTTATTTATTTTTATTGCAAAGTCAAATATACAGAGAGGAGGAGAGACAGGGAGGAAGATCTTCTCCGTCCAATGATTCTCTCCCCAAGAAACCGCAATGGCCGGTGCTGCACCGATCCAAGTCAGGAGCCAGGAGCTCTTCCTCCAAGTCTCCCACATGGGTGCAGGATCCCAAGGCTTTGGGCCATCCTCGACTGCTTTCCCAGGCCACAAGCAGGGAGCTGGATGGGAAGTGGAGCTGCCAGGGTTAGAACCGGCATCCATATGGGATCCTGGTGCATTCAAGGTGAGGACTTTACTGTTAGGCGACAGTGCTGGGCCCCTGTCTTTTCATCTTAAATTTCAGTTCATTTTGGACTTCCTCTATTATCTTCTTCCTCCCATGAGTAGCTCCTCCCTGGGGCAAGCCTGGACCACGTTATTCCAGCAAGAGCTGCCTTTCCACAGCTGTGTACCTGCCCTGATTCAGATACCTGCATCTGTCAGTGCACTGCATTGTTTTTTTTTTTTTTTTAATATGACATTTCCTTATTCTGAATTACTTTTTTTTTAAGATTTATTTTTATTATTTTTTTTATTGGAAAGGCGGATATACAGAGAGGAGAGACAGAGAGGAAGATCTTCCGTCCGATGATTCACTCCCCAAGTGAGCGCAACGGGCCGATACTATGCCAATCCGAAGCCAGGAGCCTCTTCTGGGTCTCCCACGCGGGTGCAGGTTCCCAAAGCCTTGGGTCGTCCTTGACTGCTTTCCCAGGCCACAGGCAGGGAGCTGGAAGGGAAGCGGGGCTGCCGGGATTAGAACCGGCGCCCATATGGGATCCCGGGCGTGCAAGGCGAGGACCTTAACCACTGTGCCACCGCGCCAGGCCCTACCTGCATCTGTCAGTGCACTGCATTTTTGAACTCTCCTCAATTGTGGGACATGTTGCATGGCTCTTTCTTGTTTTCACTGAGGCTGCTCAAGTTCAGCAGACCATCCCAGCTTCCGCTAACCCTGGCACTCCATGTCTGACAATGTCCTTCCACTCAATTCTACCATCCCGATTCTTGGCCTGCAGCCTGCCACAGCTCCATCGTAGTGGCATCTGTGGAGTTGGAAGAGGGCTTATTTCTTCCTTCAGGATCATGATGTGGGATGCGTGGGGCAGAGGGAAGAGGAGAATCCTGCTCCCAACGCCTTTTTGGAGGAAGCCAATTTGTCGTTCCCAGCTCGGTGCGTGCTTCAGGCAGCTCAAGTAGGACTGTTGGCTCGGGTGGCTTGAGGAACTTTGGGTGCTAGTTAGGCCAGATGGAAACTCAGTCCTGTAAAAACGAAAATGTGAAAAACCCAGGCAGAGAAGGTCATTTATCCCCTCATAAATCTAAACACACTGAGCCCATTGAAGAACTTGCCAGGAAAATGCGATTTTCAATTTTCTCCGTGGGTTCAATTTATCTTTACTGCTAAGTAGTCAGGTTGAATTAGATCCAGAAACCAGATACAATTCGGCTCTTTCCCTTTGAAGGGAATAGGTCCCACCTTCCAGCCAGTGGCCTACATCCCCCATCCTAAGGACCCCACCTCTCCTGGAGGGGCATTGCAGCTCATCTTCCCTGTAGATATCTAAGCAGGGGTTGCTGAAGTTTGCCATTCTCAGACAAATGGGTAATTGTATCTTGCCCGCCGTGCCTCGCTAAAGATGAGAAATGGTTGCTCAGGATTGCATTTTACCTCACTGGGTTTTGCGTTTTGAAGATGGCAAATTTTCTGCATCTTTTATCAACCTTAGCCTGAAACACAGCCTCATCCATCATCCTGACCATTCAGTTTTGAAAAATATGGGATAGAATAGAGTAAGCATAAGGTTATAACTGTCCAGGCAACCTGGGTGACCCAAATCAACCATCGGGTCAGTGAGGCGATTAGAATAGGTGCTGGAATACCCACACTTCAGGCTATCACTCCCTTTGTGCATAAACACCTTACACTCAGGTGTGGCACTTGCAGAGTTGTTGTTGTTGTTGTCTTTTAGCAAGAATTAGAACTCTAGCCTGTAGATAAAGGAGGATAGAAGACTGCATTCCTAGCGTAGTTCCTATCTGAATGGCAAAGGGGAAACTGAATCATCACTTTTCATTTGAAATCATTTGTTTCCCTAGAGTCACTGTGTAAATAAGGACAGGTATACAAAAGCAAACTGCTTTAGGACATGTTAACAGAACCCTTTCTTCCAAGTCCTGTGGTGGTCTTACAATACAAAGACTTTGCTATGCTGTGCTTTCTGTCCAGGTGGACCTTGATTGATCTCTTCAGAATGTGTGCTGGACTTAGTAACTCTCTTGCAAAGAGTAAGGCAAAGATGACAGTGCTAGGTGCGTCCCATTAGAGCTACCTGAGGCTTCTTCTTTGCTCTCTCTTTGGGGTCACTCATTCCGGGAGAAGCCATCTGTCACATCAGGCGAACACCCAAGCAGTCTGATGGAGATGTCCACAAGTGAGGAGCTGGAACTTCCTGTCAACACCTGTGTGAGTGAAGCATCCAGATATCACACTCCTGGTCAACGGTAATCCCAAAGAGTCCCTGAGGCCAAGCTGCTAAGCTAAGCTGTTCACAAAGCTCCTGTCCAACAGAGGCAGAATGAAAAAGTGGTTGTTGTAAATGGTTCCAACTGGAGACCACGATCCTTAATGAAATATATCAGTCCCCAAAGGACAAATATCATATGTTCTCTCTGACAGAAAATAGCCTCTATGCAAAGTACACAATCAATAGACATAGGCAACCAATATATACACATATTCTCATAGATGAACTGTATAACAGAAACTACTGGGAAGAAAAGATATGTTGCAATATGTTTCTCTACTCCCAAATAAAAGCAGGTCTCCCAATGAAAAATGTAAATATACTTCTATACAATATGGTACTAGATTTTTCTACCATTGTTTATACCTACCAAGCCATGATACATTTAAATAACAGGAAGTTTAACTTCTAATGGTTACTAATGAACTATAGCACTGTGATAATTTGGGGGGGGGGGAAGGCAGGAGGGGAAATGGGGGAGAGGAAGGAAGGAATATCTATAGCTACAAAATTGTATCATGAAGAAAATATATATTTGAATAATAATAAAAAGTACAAAAAAGTGACTGTTGGTGTAGGTCACCAAGGTATAGAATAATTTATCATGCAGTGATAGATAATGACAGCCCAGATAGAACATTCATTGATAGTGAAAACACCATTCCACATTATTTACTATGCATACCTTTCTATTTTATAATCACAAAAAGTCAGATTTCATAAGAACTAGGGATTACATTCCAAATAAACATATTAGTTTATACTTCATGTGCTCTAACTTGACCAGAGACTTTCCTGGATAATGTCATGGACACAACTGAATGCTCCTACACACACACACACACACACACACAAAATCCCTTGAGTGGACCCAGAGCAAGTATGATCCAAGCGTACCAAGCCTACTTCATTGTGACAGCAGCTGAGAGAATGCTGTGATGATGTCAAACTAAGCCTTCCCATTCTTGGACATGCCTCCTATCCTAATTCAGAGGTCGTGACCCCTGTCCTGGCATCTGGAGCAACTGTAGTCACTTTATGGTACACAGGTGATGAATTAGTTGAGAACAGCAGCCAGAGTGCCAGTTCGTAGCCTGCACCAAACACTGGACGTGTAAATGAAGAGCCAATGCTCTTTGCTTATTAAGTCACCCTTCTAACTCAGTTCATCAAGCAACTGTCTAATTCAGACACAAGAGGTAATTAGCCAACTGAGTTTAAGTTATGATCCTTGAAAGATTTAATCCCAGATGAAAGACCAACTACCTGGTTTTACTCTACTGTAGCTTTCTGTTATAACTGGCTATTTCTGAGGGGAATGTGAGAGAGTTCAGCAGGCAATGTGTACAGAAGTAGAAACAAAAAGCATACATTTCACCTTTGACTTTTTCCTCACCTTTAAAATTATTTCAGCTACGAAAATATTCAAAAAAAAAAAAGTAACCAGATATCTAAGTATTCATACCTACTCCCCAGAATTCATGCAAAGTTAACAATTTTGAACATGTTTGACTCATAGTTTTTTAAAATAAGAAATAAGCTACCAAAGAGCAGGCATTGTAGTGCAACACATTGAATCACAACCTTCAATGCCTGCATCCCATGCTGATGCGCTGGTTCAAGTCCCCAGAGCTCTGCTTCTGATCCAGCTTCCTGCTAATGCATCTGATGAGACAGCAGAGAATGGTGAAGTTCCTGCGGATCTGCACCCATGTGGGAATGTGTAAGAAATTCCTGACTCCTGGCTTCAGCCTGGTCCATCTCCGGCTATCACGATCATTGGAGGAGTAAACCAGAGTTTGGAGGAACTCTCTGTTTCTCTTTCTATTTTTGTGTGTTATTCTACCTTTAAAATAAATAAGTTTCCTTTTTCTTTCTTTTTTTTTTAAGAAGCTGTTAAGTACATTTAGATTGCCTTTTCCCCTTGAATTCCAGAGTATCCCCTTTCCAGAAGTAGCCACTATCCTGAAGTCAGTGCTTCTTCCCTATCTTCCTCATTTTAGCAGTAAATGGTTCTGAAAGTCATTGTACAGTCACTTTTATTGAGAACTAGCTTGAACGATATCAAAATAAATGAGTTAACTGGTAAAGACGCCTGGAGATGAATGTTCACTCTCTCACTCACAAATGGATTAAAACTTTGAGGATCCATGCTCTCCATCTAGTGGTAAAAGTGGGATAGCCATAGGTACAGTTAAGATATAGAGGATTGAACACACATGAAATGGCTTCGGTGGACAGAAAACTTTCTAGCCTCTGCAAAGGATGTAAAGACAAAACAAACAAAC